GATTAGCAATTTAAATAAATTAAAATATACAAAAAATTTCATATTAGAATGGAAAATTAAGATCAAAAATATTTAATTAACAAAACAGATTAAATGAAATTATGTTAAAAAATCTAAATTTATAACGTCTATCAAAATAAAATAGAAATCCAATATCACAAAACCTAAAAAAAAACCAATACGGAAATCAATAACAAAAAGGTTAAATTAAAAACAATTCAAAAATATTAAATCAATAAAAAGTTCAATTTTTTAATTAATAAAAGTAAAAAGAAAAACTTAGCTAACAAAACAAATATGAAGATTTAAACTAACTATTTAAGAAACCAATATAAAAAATAAACAAAAAAGAAAAAGTTAATTATGTTTTACATAATATTTAATAAATATAAAAATAATATCAGAATTTTTTTAAAAAAAAATTAAAATGACCAGTTATAGCATGTCAAATCAGCATTATAACTAAAATAAAAATTAATATGAAAACTTTAACAAAGAATACGCATTCATGTACAAAAAATTAACTTGATGTATTTGCTAAATAAAATATTAATTTACTCTCAAAAGATATAAAGTATATATAAAAAATTAAATGAAGCTAATTTTAAATTAGTTTCAAAATTTTCTTGATTTCTAAAATAGTGGTATCGACAATGAATAATTACATAAAGTTGCAATAGGTTTACATGAGTTTCTAAATCAATTATATTTTTAAAATATACAAAAATTAAAATATTGTGTGTTTCTGATTTAAAAATAACAAAGAAAGACACTATATAAATAATTTTACACTTAAAATTTAACAAGTAATAAAATTTGATTTCTATACATAACTACTACTTTTATCTGAACCAAAATTAATAACACATGCATAACATATTCTAAAATTATATTTAAATAATAAAGTATGACAGATTTGTGAATCAATCACAAATTAGTATATAGAGCTAAAATATTCAAATGAAACATGCAGAAAGCTCACAAAAGATAAATATAGTAAAAAATAATGCGAAGACTCCACACGATCAATCCTACAAATTTCAAAATTAAAATTGTCAAATATTAAACTGTAAAAAAAGAATATTTAAATAATAAACTGAATAAAAATATAAGTTAAAATTCGTGGTAGACCTGAAGTAGAAGCAAGAAACGGCTTTGTATGATCATTGAAGCTTCCTAACAAAACTAAATACGAATCAATATGAATCTTGAATTATACATGCATAAATACATAACATCAATGAGACATTCAATAAAAAAAACTAAATATTTAAACATGTAAACCTTAAAGAAAAAAGAACTCTATAAATCATATGGAAAAAAACAAAACATTAAGACCTTAGCAAGAAAATATTTCTCTAAATCAAATTTATGTGTACGTCAAAGTTAGATAATTCGATAGGTGTCATTGTTATTATTTTACTTAATAAGATTTAAAAATTTATAAATTAAAATAAGAGAAAACTGTAAACTACATTTTAAATTCTATTATATACAACAAATTTCTATAAATCTATTATAATTTTGATAATTTAAAAGATAGTAGCAAAAAAAGAATTAAACAAAAGTATTAAGATAGACTTGCGCGTAGCACGAGTTATAAACCTAATCTTATTTTAAAAAATTTGGTAGAAAATTTTATTTTATTTATTCCATTAGTTAGAACCCCATTAAGGATATTTAAAAATAAAAAAATTATACAAGAAGCTCCATTTTTCAGCCTCTCGACTGATCCTTCTTGTTCCTAAGTTCCCTAAGTGTATCAATCGGCGATTTGCAGCCGAGTTTCCCCTGGGAAAATAACAAATTTGATTCCTAGATGAGACAAGAGTATTCTATAACTTTGATCGAGAACGTGAACCGAACGGAGTTAATAATAACATGTATCTCTTGATTATCAATGCGCATGAATGGGTTTATTTCGAGCTTATCTTCTCGTTGTTTGGTTCCACAGTTAAAGTAAATTCTAAGTTCTTGACCATGTACTAAGAGGCATTGTAAGAGATGATTAGCACGTTATTCAGTTTACGGAGATATCCTTGCCTTGAGCTAAGAAATCAATTAAAGTTATTCTGTTTATTTTTACCTCGTGGCCACAATTAACCTGTGTCAGTTTAGGTAATGAAGCCAAAGTCACACACAACGACTGATGCATCCGTTCAGCTGTCCCTTCGAAAAACTTTCCACTCAGTCAGAAGCTGTTCAGAAGCCAAAGTCAGGCGTTTATACTATAGAAGAAGAACTAAACTCGTTGAGATCACCAAGTAAATAGAATTACCAACACAGATTTTGATTAGCAAAATTTCATTCTAACTACTGCAAATTGTTAAAACGATCAACGAACCTAAAAGATTGTGATTTGTATATACACTGATTTATATAATTAACTATTACATATCTAGTTAAAAGGAAACTAAAGATGAAAAAAATATAAGGCTCTGTTTGTTTGATCAGATGTTATCTTTATCTAGATGATTTATTCAGATGCTCCATCCACCTACTTTATTCAGATGATGTTTGTTTAATGTTGTTTCATTTTTCTTCTCTATCTAGATGATTCATTTGAATGTAAATATATTTGTTTTGTTAGTTTATATTAGGGGTGGGCATTCGGATCATCGGATCAGATCGGGTCCGGTATTTTGGATTTCAGATATTTTGGGACTATAGTTTTTGGTACCGATCGAGAATTTTTATATTTCGAATTAGATTCGGTTCGGATCCCTCCGGGTTTAGAATGGTTCGGATACAATTTTCTGGATCCGACTTTTTCAAATTCGGTTCGGATAAAAGTACAACAAAAAATACTCAAAAATAACCAAAAATCAAAATATGAGAATTCCAAAATAACTAAAGTATTATCGATTTCAAAGCAAACTAACATTTAAATTTTTAAACAATGATAAATATTCAAGTTCCTACTTTAAATTGTCACCAAAAGATATAAATACAAAGAACATAAAAAAAAAGTACTAAGAGAACTTAGAAAATTGGATATTTTGGATATCGGATCGGGTCCAAATATTACTGGTACCCGGAAGCCAATAATAATTATACTCAATCGAGTATTATGAAAGATTCAGACCGGTTCGGATCGGATATTTTCAGATCGGATCCGGATCAAATTTTCAGATATGGGTAAAATACCTAGCCATAGTTTATATTTGCATCCAGATAATTTTACATAAAAATGCCTAAAATACTCATGCTTTCACCTAATCATATTTTTATTTTTTCACTTTAGTTATATTAATTATATATATTAATCTAAAATATATTTTAACCAAATAATTTCCAAATTATTATTTTTAACATTTATAAATTGATTTTACTCACATAAATTTATATATATATGTATATATATATTTGTGAATTAAGATCCAAATTTGTATTGAAATAGCTTTTTCACATATTTGAATTAGAAAAAGGAAAAAAATATACAAAAGATCATGTTATATAAATTTACAAATTAAAATCCAAATTTACATATAAATGGATTTGTCTTCACCATTTCTCAGTTATGATGCAAAAATAAAATTTCTGGATCTTGGCAGAAAAATAAAATTTCTTGGTTCTTAATGGAAAAATGCAATTTCTTAGTTTTGACGGAAAAATATAATTTTTTAGTTTTGACGATAAAATAAAACTTATTGGTTTTTAACGAGAAAATGCAATTTCTCAGGTTGGCAGAAAATGCGATTTTTCAATTTTGACAAAAAACGAAATTTCTCGGGTTTTGGCGGGAAAATACGATTTCTTGGCCTTAGCAGAAAATACGATTTTTACGGTTTTGGCGAGAAAAACGATTTCGTATTTTTTATGGATAACACGATTTTAGGGTTTTGATGGGAAACACGATTTCACGGTTTTGGCGGAAAAACATGATTTCGGTTTTGGCGGGAAAACACAATTTTAGGGTTTTAGCGGTAAAACATGATTTTACAGTATTGGTAGAAAAACACAATTTTATTGTTTGACAGGAAAATATAATAATACGATTTTGGCGGGAATACATGATTTTACGGTTGTGGTGGGAAGACACGATTTATGGTTTTGGCGGGAAAACACAATTTTACGATTTTGGCAGGAAAACATGATTTTGATTTTAGCGAGAAAATGCGATTTTATGGTTTTGGGGGTAAAACACGATTTTACGGTTTTGGTGAAAAAATGCGATCCTATTGTTTTGGCTGGAAAACACGATTTTACGGTTTTGTCAGAAAAACCTAGTTTGGTGGAAAAAATAAGAATTTGCGATTTTATCCCAAAAATCTAATTTTATTGTTTTGACGGAAAACCGATCTGTAATTTTTTATTTTTCAGAATAATTATAAATTATATCATTTAGATCATGTCTGTTTGATAATTTGTAATTTGCATCTAAATGTTTTATTTGAATAATTAAAAGTATTTAAGAAATTTATTATTTTAGACGAGATCATTTCCATCGAGATTATCCATTTTGGTCTATCCAGATGAGTTTAACAAATTATCCTAAATTTTTAAAACTTATTTGAATGATGCAACTAGTTATTGCTATCATTTTGTCACAAAACAAATAAAACTTTCATCTCCATCCAGATGCTGGATGTAGAAACAAATAAAACAAAATTAGAGGTAAAAATAAAAAAAAAATGCAAAAACACTCATAATATAAAAGATTAGCATTTGATTACTTTTTTAATTTCAAACTTACTACAGTTATAAGATTTATTCTTCACTCCAATATGGTTTAGTGACCTAAAAACTTACTAAAGCTAATAAGCTCTTCCCTTTTCACATCATCAATCTAGAGGAGTAATTTTTTCCAAATAAGTAACACATAATTATTTGACTCCATTAATAAAATGCATGTCTAAAATTTCTTTTTAAAACTTAATATGATCATTATACTAATTAATACTTAGTTATAACATGTTTTGTAGTGGGGCAAGACCTTCACAGTAATTTTTTTTTTTAAGTTGATTAAATCTTGTTGGAAAGAAACTATAAAGAAAGAAAATTGCTACATTTATGGTGATGAGACGTATCGAGAAGCTGAGGTATTGAATCGAGGGGGCTTTAGGCAATTGAATTATATAAGGGTGTGGTGGCGAAAACCATTTTTCACATCGTCACTCCAAAAAAGTGCAATGTTTCAAGCTACCGGCACAGCGTCTCTGGCCATGCCTGTAGTGTTTCCCTATTCATGGAGACGACCACTTATCCTTCCTCTCCGGAACCCAAAGACCATCAAGCCTCTCGCATGTCTCGATCTGGAAGTAGGAAATAGGTACACATAACTCTCTAAATTTCATTTTTCTTTCTTCTTTTTGTGAAATCGGTTACAAATGAAATTGTGAGATTCATTGTGCTAGCATTTCATATCTGATTCTGAAGTCTCAATCATATAGATATAATACTAGTTCAGAGTATACTCTTGATCCAAACTAAACTGATGTCCAAAGTATGTAGAAAACGGAGTAGAATTGCCCTTTAAAACGTCCATAGTGGCCACAAAAGTGATCTGGTAATTACTATATTACTTATTCACGTTTTCAAAATTTGAAAAATTAATTCAGTTATTTTTTATCATTTAAAATAATTTATCAATTTTTTACATTTTCACGTTTTTGAATATAAATTCTATTGTATAACCAAAAAAGAAGAAGATTAATTGCGATTTGTTTTTCTAATTATATTTACATGTTGTTTTCTAAAACTAGATTTTTGGCCTTTTATAGTTATTCGGTGAAATTTTTATTCAGTTTAGTTGGCCTTGGTTACAAATTTTCAGTTATTTTTTTAATTTTCTATTAATCTTACATACTAATATATAAGGCCTTCAATTTCTAATCCATAATCTTTTTGAATTTTCCATATGGCAGAATGAGTGGGTTCCATGACACTGAACTTAAAGTTCGTGATTATGAATTGGATCAGTTTGGTGTCGTGAACAATGCTGTTTACGCAAACTACTGTCAACACGGTTAGTTTGATTCGGTTGCAAATGTTACTTTTTCAGATTATTACAAATCCTCGTTTAGTTTAAACCCCATTAATCTTACCAGCTATTGTTCGTTAACATGCTTTCATACACAGGTCGACACGAGTTTTTGGAGAGCATCGGTATAAACTGTGAAGAAGTGTCCCGCTCTGGTGAAGCCTTGGCAATTTCTGAGCTAAAAATAAAGTTCCTTGCACCTTTACGTGTAACTATGACCCTTTTCTCCTACAATATTTGTCACGTATTATAATGTCAATGGTTTTTTTTTTATTCATTCATTTGATTTCTTTGAACAGAGTAGATACAAGTTTGTGGTGAAAACGAGGATATCGGGGACATCTGTAGCGCGAATTTACTTTGAACAATTCATCTTTAAACTTCCAAATCAAGAGGTTATTTTTTTTTTTAAGAGGTTAAATTTGTTCCTTTTATAAAAGCCTCTGTGTACTTTTTACTTGTGTTCTAATTGGGATCCCTATGGTATAATTAACAAAGCAGCTTATATTGGAGGCAAAAGGAACAGCTGTGTGGCTTGACAACAAATACCGTCCTGCTCGTATCCCATCTTATATACGCTCTAGTTTCGTTAATTAACTTTCAACGTCAAGACGTCGATGTTTAATTCATTCCCGCATTTTATGATGCAGTCACTACACAAGAATGAGTACATCTTATGAATTGGTATTGTTGTTTATATGTTGTAAACGGCGTGATTTTTATTGTCATCTAATTTATAAAATAAATTTATATTGAAATGATGTAAACGTCTTCAAGGTTTTTTAAACATTCAATATTCGGTTCAAGATGTTAAACACTGAAAATGTTTTAACTTAGTTTATACAAAATTTTCCACATAAATTTAATGATGAACATTTCTTACTTACACTAGTTTAGGGGAAAACAAAACTATTTTGATAATCTGATGTTCTTCTTTGGTCTCTTAAGTGTTATAATTAAACATCAATTATGCAATGCACGAGACATATTCTAATAGTAACAATTAAACACACAAAAAAGAGTGTGTATTTTTCATAGATTTTCTTTTTAGAAGTTCGGGAATAGAAAACATGTTTAAAAAGTACTTGTACACCCCATTTAACAACAGCCATATATTTTGAAGCAGCTTTAAGAGCCGATGGGTCAGCCCAATTATGATGCCACTCGTATCCTAATCAGACAATAAATGAAATCTAAAGATGGTCATACGCGTTCACGTGGTACAATAAAATTACAATTAATGGAAACTGTTTCCGGTAAGGATTGAAGTAGACAAGACAAATATCCAAGTGACGGTGATTTTATAACTCCCAACAACATGTCAAAGGCATGAGAACCGTTCTCGAAAATGCCAAGTTTTATAGGAGGGTTATGAAAGTTTGTTTTTTTTTTTTTGCTTAAAGGGGGTTATGAAAGTTTTTTCCAAAAATAGCACGACTGCTCTCAGTCAACTCTTATACAAGTACATGTTTTTTATGCTCAAATAGACAAATGTAAAAGTGCTTATATACTCTAATAAATGTGTGTAGTCATAGATTAAGCACAAAAAGTGACCAAAAATATAAAAGGGTTAATATAGCAACAAAAAATTAGTCACTATGGTATATAAAAGATATGGAAAAAAACGAAAATGTTTTTGTGGCTATAGTTAATGACTAATTTTTATAGAGAGATATTGGAGTTTTTGTAATTTTTCGTGTCTTTTTCAAATTAATCAATGAAAAATTATATCTATTTTATCGCTATACGAATAATTAATTATAAAAAATATTTAAATAACAAAAATATCAGATACATAGTTTTTAAACCACAAACAGTTAGTTTCATATTTCTCGCTTGATTTTAATTATTTCATGACTTAATAAAAAGCATGACTTCTTTTTTATGTTTTCAAAAGTGAATTACATTCAAAGGCATTTTTAAGTTATTCTTAACACTTAAAGGTATGTGGAAGCTCCTAGTCTAGTGGTCGACTAAAGGTTTATTAATATTTCTACACTAAGAGGTTTGAGTTTTGATTTCCATAAAATACAATTTATGCAGGTTAATGGAAACAAGCAAATAAGGAAATGATGGACTATTGGAGTTAGTCGTGCTGAGCCCGCATATTTATGATGGATCTTTGTGAAATAATTAATTTGTCCATTAAAATATTATCCTTGTAATTGTTTCTACAATTTGCATGCCCGCATATCTATGGTGAATCTTTGTGAAATAGTTAATTTGTCCGTTAAAATATCATCTTTGTAATTGTTTCTATAATTTGCATTCAGGCGATTAAAAAAAACACTTAAAGGCACTTTGTGATGTTGGTGGATTTTCTCCTCACTCATCTTTACTTTTGAAACATAAAAATCCAAATTTACCTTTAATGAAAAGTAAAGAATATTTGGTTTGTGGACAATGATTATAAACACTAAAAACAAAATTGTGATTTCGATTCTGTTAGCCTTTGGGTTACCTTCATTGCAAAATCATAATCAAATCAAAATCTGGGCAAAAATAGATCGATTTAAGGAAGAAAATGAAACAGTTACAAAAGAAGCAGAAGATTCGAGGAAGTACTTTGTATCTTTGTGATGAAATTCTTTTGCTTGTTATCTACGATTCTTGTGTCCACGGTGCTTTGTCCATATGTTGAGATAGGTGATTTGATTGATATCCATGGGTTTTGTGTCCACAATACTTTGTCTATATATTCGAGTAGGTGATTTGACTGTTATCCACAGTTCTCGTGTCCATGGTCCTTTGTCCATATTGAAGTAGGTGAGTTGATTGTTATCCACAGTTCTCGTGTCCATAGAACTTCGTCCATCTTATGTATGCGTGGATAGGAAAACCTGTCCAACCTAGATCCAGAAATTCGAGGATTTTAAAACCCAGAAGAAAACACTCATGACAAATCAATAACGGCAACAGAAAAACATATGGGGAATAGCCATCAAATTAAAATCAGAACTATGTATTGAGATTTGGAGGCACTAATATAGTATTGGCAAGAAGAAAATCTGAAATTTAGAGACTAATGCATTAAAAGCGATGGCAAAACTAAGATTTATATGTAGATCTGTTACCTGTCATGTTAGTGAAGTCGGAAATTATCAAAAATGGAGGCGACAAAGTGAAAGTGAAATTATCAAAGATGGAGGCGACAAAGTGGAGAAGACGAGAAAGAGAAAGAATGATTTATTTTTTGGAAACCTATCAATTTGATGAATTCACCGACAATAATTGTTTTTCAGCAGCAAATATAAAAAAACTAAGGAAGTAAAGGGAAGAGAATTCATTAATTACTAAGGATTGTTTAGTCTTTTTGTTTGGTTAGAGAATACCAGCTTTTCAAAGTGCCTTTAGATGTAATATAAGATTGGAAAAGTACCTTCCAATGTAATTATCTCGTGTTTCTAATAGGTTTATGAGTTACCCCCATTAATGATATTAAAAATTAGTCCCGTCAGCAGAGGACAATACAAATTTCAGACAAGTCTGTTTCTTGTATTACGTTTTGGTCATGTCTGAATCATGAGTCTTCTTTTTGCTAGGGAGACAAATCAGTTTTGATGTGGGGCAGAAGCTGTAATAAGAGAGGAACCATTATAGGAGAACACGAAGCCTAACTCAGATTTTATTTAAGAAGAAATAATTTTCTACTGAAACAATGAGAGAAAGAGTATATCTCTTAGTGTTTGAAAGCTTTTATTTATCCAAAATCAATATCAAAAGTGGTGATCGACTAATACAAAAGAAAACTCAATATATAAGATTAGAGAGGTCACCATAAATCTCTTAAACTAATCCTCAATAGGATTTAAACTAATCTAAAAGAAAGCAAAAACAATCAAACACTAGCTTGTCGAACAAGTAAAGACTTGTTGACAACACGGTATCGACGCTGCATCAGGTTCCTTGAGGCTCCGAGTAACCGATATTTGATGCGTGTTTTCTTCTACCCCAATGCCTTTGCCTTTTCGATATATTGAAGATGGAAGTTCAAAGGAAAGATGAGAATCAGAGTATTTAGAAAACCTAGCTCAGGATCGTAAAAAAGGGAATCCTAGAATAAAGATGAAACTGACGAAGGAGAAAATTTGATTTTATGGTTTCTGGTATTGTACCAACGAAATGGAACAAGCAAACGAAGCAAATAATCGCACAAATATTTGCAGAGATTAAAAAAAAATAAAGAAGACGAGGAGGAGCAAATACTTTATTTATTGGCATGGACATGCGAATAAAAGAAATAAAGAAAATCTGAACAATTCCTTATAGGACACGTGTGAATCTCTTCGGTTCTCTAAAAAAGGGAGAAACCTTTGAGTTTCCCGCCTGCAGAAGCTCTAACTGAATCTGGGCCTGAATGGAAGAGAATTAGTTAAACGGCCCATTAGCAAAGTTTAATGGGACACTACACTTTGACTTATCTTGCCGATCTGTGGTGTATATTTGACAAATGATCGAATGATTTCTTATCTGACGAGATGATCTTAATGAAACAAAACTAAACTCTTCTCATGGAGTTTGCCAAGCACATTTGTGATCACCTTGACGAGCTGGAGGGTTGTAGAGGGGAGAACTCGCGCATTTTAGAAAGAAGCAAAGTATATCTACTTAAAATCTCCTCGCATACTAACAAGGAAATCTCACTTAGGCTAATGGAAAATTTCTAAGTCTAAGGAAAAAAAAAATTTCCTATTGAGAAAAGGAAAAGAGCTTAATGGAACTGACATCCTGTCCATATAAATAGAGAAGAGATCATAGCTAGAAGGGGGCATCTAAGAAAATCTGGAGAAAGAGCAGCGAGAAAAGACCTAATATTTTCTAAGCTTTCTATTCAAATCCTTAAGAGCTTTTACTTTCACCTCGGAGCCCCTCATCACCATATCCAGAAATCAAAGCCTGAATCCGGCGTATACAGCGTGAAAAAGAAAAGACAAGCTGATCTATAGTGCCCTTCTCGGCGTTATCACCACCCCCATTAAACCTTTACTCTCTCGCTCTGCTACAGCAGCAGAAGCATGGTTTATACTTGTCGATATCTATGCTAAGCCCAGCAGAGGACACATGAAGCAACTCAAAAACTGGAGCAAAGACACAAAATCCATTGATGAATACATTTAGAGCCTTACCACTCGTTTTGATCGTCATGCAATTCTAGGAAAATCCATTGACCATGAAGATCAAGTCGATTACATACTTGAAGGACTTCCTGAGGGATACAAGGTGATAGTGGATCAGATCGAAGGTCGAGACACTCCTCCTTCAATCACAGAGATTCATGAAAAGCTGCTCAACCATGAATGCAAGCTACTGTCGGCCTCTCAGCCTTCTGGTCACACCCCAACATCAGCTATCTGGGTCAACAATTGCACAACTAACAAAGATTATTCAAAGCCTTCTCTCAAGAACCAACAATGGCAATCCCACAACAAACCTGATGAACAGTATACCAACGGACCACAACAATACCTTGGCAGATGTCAGATCTGCGGTACTCACGGACACAATGCAAAACGATGTCCACAACTAGTGTCTTACACTACCCCTGCTCCACAACTCGCTCCTTGGAATCTACGTGCAAATTTTGTGGCTCCGTTCTCAACCAGAATCCGTGGTTGCTTGATTCTGGTGCCACGCACCACATCTATTCTGATATGGCAAACCTCTCACTATACCATATGTAGCATCCGTATCCGAGAAAATTCGGAATGATCGAGCTGGACAGGGCATTGTCCGAGGAATGATCGAGCCAAGGACATATATTGGCTGGGAACTGGGAGGTTCAGACTATGGCCGGGTGATAACTGGGAAATAGTCGGACGGA